GAGTTATTCCCCACGTACAAGGAATAACTCATAGGTTTCTCACAGTGGTAGCATCTTGTCAGTCTTTTATTTTATTTTATTTTTCCATCCTTGAATTATGTTTCGACACATGTGTACCTGTACCAAATCCTCTGTAAAAATTCTGTACCTCTAGCAAAACTGATCAGAAACATAGTGAGTAGTAATATAGTCCATGAAAAACACCGAAAAAAGGTATAATGACCAATCCAGTATCATTATATTTATTTTCCAGCATTTAGGGTAAACAAATAACAACAGTTTCATCTTTACTATTTATTTTTGTTTTTATCAACACATATTGAGAACGTCATATCGTTGACTAATTTATATGGCACCAAACCGCAAATTTCAAAAAGATAATTTCAATTTGTTCTAGCAATTTGACGATTATTACTCGCGACCCTAACACAATCGAACATCAAAAACCAATTATAACCAAGTTATCATTAAAAGTGAATAATGAAAAAATGATTCGATCTATGAACTGGATGATCCAAGCCCAAGTACGAAGATTGATCAAGAGTGTGAACACTCCCAAGTGCTACGTATTATCATAAATATGTTATAAAAATCCTAGTAGTCTTTTGAGCATAACACGACTAAAATGCTCCAATCTAATATCTTGAATACACAACGATGGAATAAATTAAACCAAATGCATCACAATTAATTCGAGCTCCATATGTCCCTTCAATTGCACCATTCGTCATCAAACTTTTTCAAACCGAAACCAAGAACTGATCGAGTCCTCAACAATTCTTGATTCGTAATCTAAAACCACGAACTTTAAAACCAAATGTTTTCTATATAAATATCTTGTTCTTTTACAATTTATCCACCCTTACATAATGACCAGACCCAACAAGTAGCAAGACACGACAAGTATCAAGATTGCAAGCAAATATTAAGTCCCCCAATCAATCAAATTTTGTCATTGAACAATTGAATCATATCACTCTCGTTCATAACCACTTTTAACACTTTCCATGCTGGTTGCCCACAAACCCTTTTCGGTGGCGCCACACACAGCCAACTGAAATTGGATGATATTTGATGGTATAATTGATAAGTGTTGAAATTTGTACTTTTGGACTTTTATTTCTTCTTTCTATTTCGGCTAGATATTAGGAAAATAATTTAGCTCACGATTACTAAAAAAAAATATTATGAATAGAATCATACTCATACTCATACCCAAACCCAAATCAACGGTTCAGGTCGAGTTCAATTCTGGTAATTACATGGACCCGAATGATCAATTTATGAATACCAAATGTATTTTGAGTGGTTCCCAATATTGAAACTGATCCACCAATGCCAAGGCCTATATACACAGCTGATGATTGCATACAGCTTGTGGGAAATGCAAAAAGAAAGCTTCCAAGAGAACGAGCAAATAAAGAGCAGAAAGCAGGGAAAATTCTTCATGCTAGATAATCTGGCTAAAGCTATCCATAGAATTAGTAAATTATTTGAGACAATATATTGTGCAGTACAATAATTACATACTCTGGTTCCGAGGGAAAAATATCTCATCCCTAACCTCCTAACATCAAGTCATCTATGATCACGAGAAGCAATAGAAAGAACCAGCATCAGTTACCTGTTTGAAAAATGTTAGTGAGATTAGGGAGATTATGTGCCTGCCTTCATCTGCAATCTTCAACGTGCTTTATAGATCTATGAATGAACAGTAGATGAATGCAGAACGTAAAATCCTATCACTATTTCTCAACGCTCCAATTCTCCATTTGAAGACCTCTCCAAATGTTTCACCTTGTCCAGCAATTCTTGGATGGTATTTGATGCCTCCTATACAAAAGGAGAAAAAACGTAAGGTAATTTAGACATCTGATTCTACATTAAAAAATTAGCACTAACAAAATCATATAGCAAATGCGAAGGGAAACCTTTAATTTCTTTCTCAAATTTTCTTCCTCAATGTCTCGACGTTCCCTTTCTTCTGAGAATATATCGATCAAACTATCTTGTTCTTTGACCAGTTCCTGGATTTTTCGATTTGCCTTGTGCAGCTGATCAAAAGAAAACAGAATCTCACTTGCCAAGAAACCAGCCAAAAGACTATCTAGAGCTTTGATTTTTCTATTTCTATCTTCATTTTTCCTGCAGGGGAGTGGGGGGTGGGTGTAAGCGGGATGGGTGGAGCTCAATTGTTGAAGTCTGAGAATATAACAAGAATTGCTAATTTACAATATCATCTTCCCTAGACATGACCTTCTCATCAAACACCATCAATCTTTTAAGTCATCTCCAAAACAAAAATTACATTCAGAATTATTTTTTATGCCTCCTTCGAAAGTGAACTAGAGAGAAGTAGAGCGTGACAATTAAGCAAGAAAAATCCAAAATAACCCCATGCCCTCAATGATAAAAGGATACTATAATAATAACCTCAGCTTCAAGTGATTTGCATTTATCCTTTTCACTCCGTAGATCATATAGCAGATCACCTAGAATCTCTTCTTCTTTCCTTTGCAATCTGAGAAATCAGAAAAAGTTAATCAGTTCTCGAGGTGATAAATGACTGGTAAAGCATGTGGTACATTTCTCATTAAACAGACTAAGCACCTTTCTTTCAGCATTCTGTTTTCTTCTTTCAACTGTTCCATTGTGTGCCATAACTCTTCTCTGTTAAAATCATCTTCCTGTAAATTGAATGGCATAATGAACATAAAATCAAATTTCCTTTCAAAAATTTCATTCGTCTAACTACTTTGGCAATCAGTCTGAAAATTATAGTTCATGGATGTAAGCTACCCTGTTAATAAAAGAAGATGGCATGTGCATTACAAGGCAACTAGAAGTTGAACGAGGGAAGCCAAGATAACAGCATAATATTACTGGAGAATTCCCAGTAACTATTAAGCTTTGCTAATAACTACTTTGCACCTTCACTCTTCTTCAACTCTTGTTTTTCAGGGACAAAAAGACTACAAATGAAATGCAGAAATTTTCAATATGCAAATATTTTTGTTTCAAGTTTTCAGATCTCATACTCTGGATAATTTAGCCATTAATGTAGCCTTAATTTTTCACGTCAAGATAACTAACAGGAAAATTCTGAAACGGGTGCTAAAGCCTAATGAATATCAATTATATCAACCACAGAATACTGCATTGACAGTATCTATAACGACATGAATAATGATGATTCTTAAATACTAGCATAAAATGACTGCCTATAAAATCAAACCAGCTTACCATCAAAGGAACTATGTCAAAGGTTTAACACAAATTTGTGGAAAACACTCATTATAACACTTGTTTCCGATATCAGATAAATAATGGTTCAAGGATTGGCATCAAAATGGATTGGGGAGGCATTTTATTTTTTGTTTTTTCCCCTTCGTATGAGGTTTTCCTATTTCACTATTATCAGTGGGTCTTCTAATTTCAAGGTTTCTCGATCAGCAGCCTCTGTTGCACTAAACGTAGTCAAAGTCGCTTCAATTGCAGACGTCCCAGATTCACAAGCACTTCCATCTATCATTGGTGATTTCTACTTACAATTGCAATTCATAGAGAGTCGAGGACACTGTTGTCTTAATGGGCTGTTTCCAAATAGCCAATGGGGTCCACCATTACTTTGACTTATTATATTTGGTAAATCAGCTACCAAACTAAAATTCTATATTCAGCCATGAGGAAAGCCCTCCTAGATGTAGAGATAAGGAGAATATCAAGATAATCTACAAATCTTTCCAGAAAACATGTAAGAGCATAAAAATTAACCTCCAGATTCACAGAAAGGTCAACACTTGATCCATTGGGTTATTGGGTTAGATCACATCCAATATGTATAACAGTAACGGTCATTACCTTGCAATTACACAAAGGCTTGCACAATAAGAACTTTGTAGCTATACTTGAGTAGAAGGAATACAATAATGAGAAGCTACCTGGGATCTTAAATTTCTCGTTGTTTGAACAGGCCTCACGATGGGCAAATTATTTCCTGAAACTTCACCGTATCTCAAGCCAGAAGGCATTGGAAATCCATCTTTTCCTGATAACTTCTTAGAGGATAAACCATTGACTCGATTCCTGGAAATGTTAATTTGCACATCGTCACTGACATCCTCAGCAGAAGACGATGATTGTCCGGAAGAACTTCGTGGCTTTCCAGATGCTTTCTTCTTCATATCATCCTTTCCATACATATGCTCTTTATTAAG